TGTGAGGTCACTGGCACTCAAGGCTTCAAGGCCAAGAGGCCGAGGGGGGACCTAGGAAGAGACCAGGCTGAAAGGAAGCAGAAGGAGCAAGGAAGAAAGGGACAGAGATTCTCACGAGTCAGAGAGAGGTACACCAGGAAAGGGGCAGAGACAAGCCTCCTCGTACATGCGCATGTGTTTATGTGCCAGAGAACAGAAGTCCGGATGACACCTGGGGAGCAGGGGCATCCCACAGACTGAGAACGGAAGCCCAAAGCCGAGGGCATTACCTGCTACTCCAGGTACGACCACGTTTCAGTCCTGAGAGCAAGATGTGAAAATCACTATTGCTGAAGAAAACAGTCGCTATTTATTTTATTGCACTTGTCCTCTTTTAAAAATGTTCAGACATAAACCATGAGCGATGGAGCTGGGGCGGGCAGGGAAACAGAAGGAAGGGTGAGGGGAACCAGCTCACTTCGAGGAAGAGATCCATCCCACCTTTTAGGGACACCCCATCCCCCTTCACTATGGACCCACTTGCTGCTTTGGGGGTGGGGCATACTGGCCAGGTCTCAGGGAGGACCAAATCTGAAGACAGAGATGAGAGTTCCCAGCACCTGGCTCCCTGCCAGCTGGCTGAGGAGGCTAATGATGGAACAGGTAAGGTTAGGGTCATGAGTTCAAACGCTGCCAGGGACACTTGGCTGAGGCTGGGAACCGCTATTGTGTAACCAAGGATCACCCTAGACGTTGGAGCCTACTTTGGACCAACTCTTTTCAAACCAGCCAGCCATTTCCCGGATGCAGGTTGCTATGACAACAAGCCCCAGGAGAACTGGAGTAGGGCTCAGCAGCATCATCCCCACTCCTGGGTAAACAACTCCCAGCACTGGCTCCTCCCCCCTGTCCTGGTGGGCGGGGAGAGGCGGCAGGCTCAGATGAGATTTGCCAACTGTCCTGCTGCTCCCTTGGGGGAGGCCAGCCTGGACCTCTCCTCTCCACTACCAGGGGCAGTGCTGAACCTCCAAATTGAGACTCTGCAGAGGGGGCTGCCTTCTCTCTAGGCGGGCTGGCCACGAGGAAGTAAGCTGGCCAAAGACCTTACTGCCATGGAGGGACTAGTTAGGACAAGCTAGTCCTAAAGTCCTCTCCACCCCGGGGGCATGAACACTCAGGCTGGGAGCTCAGGGCATCCACACTTCCATGGGAGCCCTTTCCACGCTGGGCCCATAGAGCCTGGAGTTTGCCCGCAGCACCCTCCGAAGCCCAGCTGGGCGGGAGTGAGAGGAAGAAAGAGAGTGTGGCAAACCCCCAGAAGCTCCTGGAAGCCAGATTCATGAAACCTGGGCTCCTGCCGAGTTTACGCTGACCCTTGACCAGCTCCTGTCCCTTTCTTCCTGACAGCCTGTCACCTTGCTTTCAGCGCCCTCTGAAGACGGCAGCGTTCCTAGTGCTCAGCCTACCAAGGCACCTGATGAAGGAAACACTTGGGCGCGCTGGCACGTTGCAGCGCATGCCCACGGTGAGAGGGCCTTTGCCCCTCTGCTGGTCCTACTACCAGTGGGAGAACCGGCTCCAGGGGTAATCCCAAACAGTGAATCGTCTTCTCTCATTGCTGACTCACAGCGACTCCCTGTGGGTTTCTGAGACTGTCACTGTTCACAGGGGTAGAAAGTCCAGTCTTCCTCCCACAGAGCTGCTGGTGGCTTTGAACTGCCACTACACCACGCAACGACGATATCACCAGGGCTCCTTGTGAATAATCTTACCAACTATTTAAGCCTGGCCTTACCATCCCCAAAGCCCACTGCCTTAGAGCCGATGCCAACTCACAGCGACCCTCCGTGGGGCTTCTGAGGCTTTGTACAGCTTCCCAGGAGCAGATCACCTCCTCTTCCTCCCACTGGTGGGTTTGAACTGGCAACCTTGTGGCGAGCAGCCCGAAGCTTACCCAGCAGTGTCCCCAGGGCCTTACAGTCCATGGTCAAAAGCAGGCCTTCTGAAATGTGCAGTTTGCTCGCTCAGCATTAGGGTTATGTCCTTCATCATGCGTTTCTGCAGCTGAACAGGTTTGCGTTCCCTTAAGCACAGCAATTGGACAGGAGGCAGGGCATCCAGGCGGAGCCTTCCCCCTCCACCCCCTCCGGCAAGGAGGCAGAGCATGCCTGGAACTGAACCCCCACCGAGATCCATGGAGGACCAATCCCACCAGAGCAAGGGCTCCAAGCAAGGGAAGGCAGCTGGTTCTAACAGACTAGTCCATATACAATGGGGGTCTGGGGGATGCAAGTGGTTTGCACTCAGAAAGAACCCAAAGGCTGACAGTTCAAACCCACTCAGCAGCTCTGCAGAAGAGAGGCTGCGTGAGCATTTTGTGGGGGGGCGGGTTTGGTAAGAAAAGCCTATGGGGCGGTGCTACTCAGGAACACATGGGGTCGCCCTGAGCTGGGAGCTGACTGGTTGGCAGCCCCCAGCAACAGTCTGTCTATACAGCGCTCTGACCTGGTCCTCAGCAAAGCCAGGGAGCTGGAGGAACATGACGGGCTGGGGACATAAAGTGCCGGTGGCATCTTCACTCTGGTTCTGGGCCTGGGATCTCGGGTTCCTTGGGCCACCATTGCTTTTCAGAGAATGGGACACACGCAGAGGACTTTGGGTGCAGGAGTAGGGGCGCTGTATGCAGACTTGCCCGGAGGTGTAGTTCATGGAAAGTCTCTGTCACTGGGGTTCAGTGGGAGGAAAGTGAGTAGGTAGAAACCCCATGAGAATCCCTTTGGTAATCAGACCTGCTTGATGGGTGGCCTCTCTTTCTGCACGAAGCCTCAGGGGCTACTGCTCAGGACGGAGCTCTGGGGGCGAGAGGGAGAAGAGACTCCTTGAAGGCGACTGAGGGGGCTGACACAGACCAGGGAAGGGGACTCACTTTGATCTTTTGTCTATGCCCGGTCATCTATAGCTCTGGGCAAGGCAGTGCCTGACGACACTGGATGCATTTCACACATGTGGTGTGCTTACGTTCTTGGGCATGTGTGCTGTGCTTTGTGGGTCTAGCTGGAGCCTGTGCGTGGTGTGTGGTCATTGAGTTTGTATGCATTGTGGGTGCAGAAAACAAATGGCCAAGTGTCCTTTACGTAGGTTTGTAGGCAGAGCCATTGTAGCCACAGTTGTTGCCTTTTTTTTTTTAATGTATTTTGCGTCTGTGCTACTGGTTGTGCGATTGTATGTAGCATGTGCAGGTCTTGTGTCCAGTATGAGTAGGTACATTGTATGCCCATGCATATTTTGTAATGAGTATTATCATTGATCATCTGTGCATGCCCTTTGCACTAGTTCGCATGGATGCTGCGTGTTTTACACTTGTCCTTGAGTGGCAACACCACATCTATTTTTGAGTGGAAGGACATGTGTGTGGTGCGTGTGTGTGCCAGTGTGGGTGTGCACATCTGGCTGTCCCGGGGAAGGGCACTGCGAGGGAACACCTTCTCTCTGACCTAGGTGCAAGCTTTACTTCCTGTATCCCCAGTCCTTCCTGTCCCCTGCCCCTGGGGAATTCAGCACCGCCTCCCATGGAGGAGAGGAAGAGAAGCGCAGAGGCTTTGTGTTGGGCGCAGGAAGTCCTGCAGAGACCTGGGGATGTGAGGACCAAGAACTAATGAGCACCCTGGGCCTAGCACCCTGAGCTGATACCCAAGACAACTGTAGGTCCTAAGCAGCAAGCAGCGAGGCCAAGGCTGGAGCCACCACCGGACTGCTCAGTTACCCCAACACACCGAGTTTGGAGCATTTGAGTCTCCGCTGTTGAAAGGTCAAGAAACCTCCAGTGTGGCGAGGCCAAACCCTCCTTGAGGTCAACCCATGCCAGGGCTGCCTTGAGGCTGCACAAAGCGCTAGCTGTCTTCCGTCTATGCCAGGGGTGACGGCAAAGCTGTAGCCATCCTTGGGATCCGTTCAGGCTGCCAGTTGAATGAGGGGGAGAGATGGAGTCTGGCCATCAACATGGTGCCTTTGGATCTTCTAGAGAGGACCCCCACCCCCCCACCCCTTTCTCTTGCTCCTGGAACAAAGATCTTTCCAGAGAGAGAAGGCACCACTTAAAAGTCCAGACCAGTAGGATTTGTTCCTGGGGAGTCATCCTCCCTGAGGTCCTTGGTTTCAAAGCAAAGGATGCACTCTGCTCCTGAGGGAAAGGTGACTGGGGCAGAGTGGAGGGATGATGAGAACCAGACAGCATGGAGGCAGATGAGAATGGAGACGATTCACATGGCGGAGTGTAGCTGGCGGCTCAGTGGGTCTGGCCCAGGACAGCTGGTGCCGTGAGCACCAGAGGGCCCTTATGCACTCAGTAAGACAAGCTTCAGCCACGGGAAACTGAAGCTGCAGCACATGGAGGGCAGAAAGACAATTCTAACATCTAAGAATTCATGAAGACCGGAGTCTCTGAGGCAATGGCAGCAAACCCAGGCTCAGTGGGGGGACCAATAAGACAAAATAACCCATTAGGCCTCTTAGCCAACCAACCACCAAACAGTGGATTTGCTCCTAAACCTGAACTCCAGAAAATGAATATATGTATATGTGTTTATATATATAGTATGTATGTACATATATGTATGCATACATATATATACATGCATACACTGTAGTGCACATAGTGAAACACATGCATAAATTGCCCTGTATCAAAAATATTGCATAAGCTTATACAAGGTTCAAATGCAATTATTCCTATAGCTAGCCTGGCAGAGGAACACGGGGAAGAGATACTCAGTATATATTTATATACATTGGATCCAGACACCTGCCTGTCCTCCGGACCCACTGCCCTGGTAGCGCTGTATAGTCCTGCTGATGACTAGGTGAATTCCGAAGGTGCAATCACGTGAGGTGTTTAGATGCCAAGGTTCCTGCTCCCGCTCTCCTGGTTTTCCCTGTGCTCCCTCCCATTCAGAGGAACAGGGATGGGGTGTGCTAGAGGGTCGGGCATTTTGGTTCCCCACCCCAAATTGTCGATACATATATCTATATATATTTCCCTGATTGACAGCTTTTGCCCTCCAATGGGGGGAAAAGGAGAAAAAAAGAAAAGAAAATCCTAGTTCAAAGTCATTCCAAGACGATTAATACTCTAAGTCTGAATACTGTGTAGGCTCCTAAGAAAATAGGTTATCTCCTGTGTTGTACATAGTGAGATTCATGCAACAAACATCCATGCAGCTTGATTGCATCACTGGTAGATTCCACTGCAGTGTCAGTGCGGCCCAGGCCATGGCACTAGGACGGCAGGCGGCTGCAAACCCCAGTGCCATGAAAGAATCAGCCATGGGTTTGTTTTTGTTTTTGTTGTGACCCTGAAGCCTGAAAAACAATGGGGGTGAAATCTAAAGCCGCCAGCTCCCTAGGTGTGCCAGTGTCTCCCTGTGGGTCTCAGGAAACTTGACAACTCCTGATTGGTCGTCTGCACTGTCGCTCCTCCGGGCTTCCCTCACACTGACACTGCAGAGAAAAAGCCGAATGCAGCATTTCCCATTACGAAACACAAGCCTCCGGAGCATCGGCTTGGCAACTGCAATTCACACACCCCAGCCTGCGACACAGACACTCATTCCAACACACAGGACTGTGTGTTCTTTTCAACGCAAAAAAAGAGGGAGGGGGGGATGACCTTTTGAATCATTACTAGAGCCTGAAAGGAAAACCATGATAATGTCTCCCCTCCCCCCAGCCCCTTCCCCTCCTCTGTGAAGAGGGCTTGCGCTCAGAATGGGAGGTGGAGGACACTTCATGCGGGAGGACAGGGGGCACTGATGAAGTGGGTCGCCTCGCTGGCATGGGGTAGCCAGCGTTCCCCGTGCCTTCCTGAAGCCTCACGCCACGGGTGACTGCGGTCTTTGGAAACCCACTAGCCGGTGATGAAGACTTGCGTGAAAGCCAAGGATAGGTATTCGGTGTCCTAAAGCAAAAGTCCTAAGAGCGAAAGCCACTTGTACGACTATTGCTCTCCATGCAGAACCAGAGCCACACTGTGAGGCGCACGGGGCTCCGGTGCGATGTCTGCATCCCTTCCGCTGGGCTGTGAGGATGTGAGCGGGTTTCCGTCAGACGTCCGTTAACATTTTGGTAATATTCACATAGTTTGTGTTAGCCAAAGTGCAGTTGGCTGCTTTCAAGCTCTCTTCTCTAAAGTCCTCGTTACTGTTGTTCACGCCCTCTTGGATCTCCATGTAGTCAGACTTACTAATGGTAGAGGCACTTCTGCTTTTCTTGAGGTCAGGGGAGGATGGGATCTTTGGGCAGCTGGTCACTTGCAAGTACTGGGCCTGCTCCTCTCCCTCTGTCTCCCGGTGGTAGAAGTAGTTGAAGTTGGACACAATGACGGGGACCGGTAAGGCAATGGTCAACACACCTGCAATCGCACACAGGGAGCCCACGATCTTCCCCCCAATGGTAGTTGGAACCATGTCTCCATAGCCTACAGTTGTCATGGAGACGACTGCCCACCAGAAGGCATCCGGGATGCTGGGGAACTGGGACTCTCGCTCATCGGCCTCTGCAAAATAAACTGCACTCGAGAAAAGGATGACCCCGATGAAGAGGAAGAAGATCAGGAGGCCCAGCTCTCGCATGCTGGCTTTGAGGGTCTGACCGAGAATCTGGAGACCTTTGGAGTGTCTGGACAACTTGAAAATCCTAAAGACTCTTACCAAGCGGATGACACGGAGGATGGCCAGTGACATGGCCTGCTGGCCCTGCTGGGCATCCTCCGGCTTCTCGGCCAGCTCCGTCCCCAGGGTGATGAAGTACGGGATGATGGCCACAATGTCAATGATGTTCATGATGTTGGTGAAGAAGCCAGCCTTGCTGGGACAGGCAAAGAACCGCACCAAGAACTCAAAGGAGAACCAGATGATGCAGAGGGTCTCCACGATGAAGAACGGGTCGGTGAAGGAAGTGGACTGCTGGTACCCGATGGTGCTGTTGGAGTAGGTGTGGAAGGTCATGCCCCCCCCATGCAGGTCTTCGTTTTCATCGCGGAATATCGGCAGCGTTTCAAGGCAGAAGCTGACGATGGAGATCAAGATCACCATGACGGACACGATGGCGATAATCCTGGCGGGCCCCGAGCTCTCGGGGTATTCAAAGAGGAGCCACACCTGTCTCTGAAACTCGTTCTCAGGCAGTGGGCGCTCTTCCTCCTTGATGTAGCCTTCATCTTCCCGGAACATCTCCATCGCTTCCTCCCCCAGCTCATAGAACCGGATCTCTTCAGAGAATATGTCCAAGGGCACATTTACAGGACGCCTCAACCGGCCCCCGGACTGGTAGTAGTACAAGATGGCATCGAAACTTGGGCGGTTCCGGTCAAAAAAGTACTCGTTTCGGAGGGGGTCAAAGTACCTCATCCGCTTCTTGGGGTCCCCTAAGAGGGTCTCTGGAAACTGGGCTAAAGTCTTGAGCTGCGTCTCAAAGCGCAGCCCCGAGATGTTGATGACCACTCTCTCACAGCATTCGTGGTCTGCTTCCGGGTCATAGGAGTCCTGCGGGTGCCCGGGGAGGGCGGCAGCCTCGTCTGCTGGGTCTCCGGTGGCCACTGTCATAATTGGGTCTGAGAGAATCGCCTCTCGCTACACCTTCCAGCTGCCTGGTGGCGGGGTGCTCAGGGTGCTGCTAAGGGCCCCGGCCAGCACAGTAGCATTGGCCTGGGCTCCTGCTGGAGAACCCCGAAGGCTCCCTGAGAGCTGGACAGACAGCCTCGCCGGGCTGAAAGACAGAGGACATAAGACCACTCAACACGGGCAGCATGGCCTGGCTTGCTGCTCCGGGTCTACCTTCTCTCAGAAACATTACCGCTAAGGTCACCACACACATTCGACTTTCACATGGAAGGTGCCCGGAGATCTGAGGGGAGCAGGTGACAATCTCTCGGGGAAGCTTTGAAGGTCCTGCCCTGGGGGAGGGGAGGGGGGCCATGGCTGGCCCAGGTTCTTCTGCATCAGGCGGACTCATGGAGCATAACTCCAGTATGAGAAGGCTGGAAGGAGGCCCGTCTCCCAGAACGGAATTACTATCTGGCAAATAACTACTCCCTGGGAAGTATTCCTGGGGGAGGGAGGGAGGAATCTTGAGCCTGGGTCTCTCTCCTTGCCCCTACCCTAGTGATTCGACATGTGGCTGCGACGAAAGCAGGACTGATTTACCTGAAGAGGCAGGTCTCCGAAGCTCTCCTTCTTGCCAAGCAGAGCAGATGAGGAGGAATCCTAGATACACATGCCGGCGGCTCCACTCCTCTTGTCTCGTCTTTTCACCCAAGCGAGCTAGAAATAATGGTGAGTCATTCTGGGCAGGAGGGCAGGCTCCAGGTCCTGGAGGTGAGCTCCAGGACTGGGTTGGGCTGGAGGAGCAGTGGGGTGCCTGGTCAGGGGCACGCAGGACTCCTCACACGGCCGAGCTCGGGTCTGGAGCCCCTGGAAGGAAGAAGGCAAGATGCAGAGCTCAGCAAAAGCGGGACTCCTCCAGGCTGTCCTCAGGAGATGTGACGTTGCCTGGAAAAAACTGCAGCGAGGTGGAACCGGGGCTCGCAGACAGCGGGTGCCAAGATTAAGGAGGCTTCTGGCAGCTTCTCTCGCTGGAGGTGGCTGACACGCTCCCATGGGCCCCTTCCGTGCCGGCGCCGCACCTGAGAAACGCCCTAAGCCTCTAGCCTTCTCAAGGCAACTTCTCCTTGCAAGCTCCTGGGGCTCTTCCCCTCCAGGGGCCTCCTGCGCTGAGCCCTCGCCCCCTGCTGCCAGCAGGGGGGATTCCGGCCCCTCCACCCCCATCCCCTCCGCCCCTCATCACCAGGCCAGAACACGATGTCTCCCAAAGAGAGGGCACACTGCAGCCACACTACAAGCTCTGACCTCTGCTGGGTCCCAGGAAAAGTCATTCCCGACCCCACCTTCAGAGGCCAACTAGGGAGACCCCCCCTCCCTACCCCGACCCCCCTACATACATACATCACACACAGCAAGGTGGTCTCTGTCCTGGCTGACAGGGGCCCTGGACTTACGCTCCCCTGGGAATTCCTGAACCGCAAGCCTCCCTCCAAACCTGGAGGCATTGGAGCTGGGTGGGGCGCTGGACCACCGACTTCCCCGGGAGAGAAAATCCCTCCTGTCTCGGCAGCAGGGAGCTCAGAACCAACGTCAGAACCAACGCTCAGCCCGGTCGGTTGCGAGGCCGGTTGGCAGCAGCCCGAGGGGGAGCCTGGAGCAAGCCGGCTTCCGGGCTGGCCTCCTGCCGGCCCAATCCTGCCGGCCCCGGGGCGGGGAGGGGTCTGGGCCCTCTCCCCATGGCCGCTTGGGCCGGGATTCCGCCAGGCACCCGGCCCCGACGCGCTCTCCGCTCCCGGCAGCCTCACCCTCCGCGGGCTGCAGTGGCGAGCGGCCTTAACTCCCTCCTGCCCGGCCTTAACCCCCTCCTGCCCGGCCGGCTCCCGCAGCACGGCGGGCCCTGGCGCAGCCCAGCTGTGGGGCTCCGGGCTCGAGCCCAGGACCTCCGAGGCTCCATCTACATCCGGAAACCGAGGAGGCTGAACTCGGATGCGGGTGGAGGGGCTTGAACTGCCGCCCCTCACTCCACCCCCCACTCCCCATCTCAGCTTCCTCCTCCCTGGGCGCCGGCGCTCCCTGGCAGCCCCCGCCCCGGGAGGGGGAAAAAGCCTTCTCCCCACACCCCCGGCGGAGAAGCGGGCTGGACTCAGTGGCAGAGAGCGGAATGCAGCCTGCGCGTCCCCAGTGACCGAGTGCTACCAACCAGCGCGGTGGCCCAGACCCGGTGCTGCAGGCGGCTGCACTTCCCTCCCCTTCGCCGCCGGCTCCTCGGCGCCCCTCCTCCCGGCGCCACGCACACCCCGAGGGTCGCCCAGCCCGCGCCGGGCACTGGTCTTCTGCAGAGAAGATGAGAGAGCGCCCCCCGCCCCGCCCCCATCATCAGCCCGGCCCGGGCATCTGCGGGCCAGACAGCCGTGGGGGGCACAGGCTGGCCGGTTCCAAGCCCTCCGCCCGCAGGCTGCTCCGCAGCCCCTCTCGATGCGCACCTTATTGGGCAGGGGAGCGGCACGCCCGGACCCCGATTTACCCT